GCTTTGTCAGTGGCTTGTATCCTGAGCCTACTTTGTACGCAAAGAGGTGGCCACCATTTGGCGGTGAGTTGACATCTATGTGATTGTGGAATGCAGTCTCCGGGTCTGTGTCTCCGTTCTGTCTCGACCATGAGACTGTCTCTCCGTTGGTGGGTTCAGACTTTGTGGAGGGGATGAAGAACTCGGTTGTTTCGAAGCCGTTCTGGTCTGTTGTGGTTGTAACGTTTGAGGGTTTGACATGTTTGTTTGCGTCGAAGCTTGTCAGGTTTTTGACCGTGAACTCACCAACTCGGGCAGCTGACCAGAATGTGGTTGTCAAGCAGGCATAAACGGCAGCATGGAGGGGCGTTGAGAGGTCTAGCTGACCGCGAATAGCAACCATGAAATCTTTTGTGTATGGCTGGCGTTTCTTCCTCTTTGACGTGGGTGGGGTTGCTTTTTCTGCGGCCTTGAGCAGTGCCTCCAGTTCAGGGTCGACCATCTTCCATGGGACCCCATGCAGGATGTGCCATGCCCAGATGCCATAGACGTAGTTGGCGATGGTGCCACCAGAGAAAGCACCTGAGAGGGTGGCTATGAGAGAGGCGATGAGGAGGGGTGAGGCTGGGGCCCTCTGATCCTCACTAACTCTGTTCTTGTCACAGAAGGCGTGCCAGGTGAGGAGGCCTGTCCCATAGACTTCCAGAGTCCCATCCGCCCACGCCCCGGCCATTACCTTGAGAATGCGGGCCAGGTCTTCAGCGGAGAGATGGGTGGGCTGGCCCTGGTTGTCAGTGGCAGTACGGACCGTGGTTGGTCTCCAACGTGTAAGCCGTTCTCGAGCAAAGACGTGTGGGCGGAGTGTGGATGGTACTGGTGTGAGGTCAGGAGGGTACGGCGCAGGTTTTCGTGAAGCTCGAGCCCGTGTGTGGTCACGCACTGGCCCTCCATTTGTGCTTTGGTGCTCTGGAGAGAAGCGGTGCCGCTTGGTTGCTGGCTTGGAAGTGGGCGAGGATTTCTTCTTCATGGAGGATCTGGCCCTCTGAGGTGCTTTGGCGTTGGAGGAGTCGTGTGGCTGGGCTGATCCTGGGGGCGGCGAGGGCTGCTTTGCCTTCTCGTGCAAGGCGGAGTTCCGTTGGTGTATGAGGTGTGTCGAAATCGACGACATAGTGCTGGAGGTGATTGGGGATGTTGATGGCAGGGAGGAGGTCTTGCGTCGTGCCATATTCTCCACGAGAAGGGCCGTCAGCTGGGTTCTCCTTACTGGGAACATATCTAGTGTGGGCAGTGAGGCTATTTTCTTGCGAGAATGTGTGTACCATACGGAAGATACTGTTTGTTGGCCAGTTCCTGCTGCGACCTTTCCACCATCCTTCCACGACTCCTCGATTGTCTCCATAGACCGCATAGTGGATGCCCGGGTGATGGCATGCATTGCGGAGAGTGATGACCAGGACAGAAG